AATTTTAATGAATATATATATTTTTTGATATAATATGATTAATATGCATTTCTAATTTAATTCATGCAAAACCCCCATTATTAATATATTACACATTTTTAATTTTTTTTTTAAAAATCTTAATTTAAAATTTCTTTCAAATTACTCGAGAAAATTAGCTCTTAGCCCAAAAGAGCTAAGTCAAAATGCTAAGCCAGCGAGCTAACTTACTTGCTAACCGCTTTGCCAAATCAAACGAATTATTATAAAGCTCACTTTTGAATTGCATTAAGAACAAAAAGACAGATCAATAGAAGAACATAAAAAAAAAATTGTAGCAAGAACAAAAAGATAAATCACAGACTAAAATCATCAGATAAAATGTTGCATCACTCCTCTTAATCAACAGCAAGAAGAATAGAAAGTCAAAAATTACAACTTAACATACATATTCATCCGAAGCAAGAAAAAAAAAAAGATGAAATGAACAGCAGAGCTTACTTGGATTGGAAGAAGGTAAAGGTAAGAAGAAGATGGGGTTTTCGGGCTTTCGACCGTGACCTTGACCTTCGAGCTTCAGACGACAACGACATAGAGCAACAACATCACTTGCGATTTACCAAGGGCGTGAGAAGGGCCGGCTAGTGCAAAGAAATAAAATGAGGAGTTGGTAAATTACCTAATAATCTTTCTTTTAAAGTTTTTTAATTTTTTGTAGGCTGATAGCCTCTCTTTTAAGAACAATTATTACGTCCTCCGACCGGATGCTTCTTGCATCCGGTCGTAGGCAAAAAAAACTCGGTACGCCGAGGTGTACCGAGTTTTTTGAAAAACTCGGTACACACTCGGTACCAAGTTTTTTTTGCCTACTTGGCATCCGGTCGACCGAACCAAATAAAAAGTTCCTCTTTTAAAGGGTTTTTTTTTAAGGGGGATAATAGCCCTCCGACTAGGGTGTCAAAACCGGGTCACGGGTCGGGTTCGTGTCGAACCTGAACCGACCCGAAGCTAAACGGGTTGACCCGAACCCGACCCGGTAATGGATTACGCGGTCAATAATCAGGACCCGAACCCGACCCGAATCGGGTTCGGGTCAACCGGAATGACCGCCTAACCTGATTTATTTTCCAAAAAAAAATCAAAAACACAAACACAGAAATATAAACAGAAATTCTGTATAAATAAAAAATTTTATTTAAGAATCAAAACTAATTTGTTAATTACAATGTACAAATTATACAAAATATTTAACTATCAATAAATTACACAATAAATACAATTTTAAAAATTGTCAAACCATAATTACAATTTACAAAATCTTCAACTCCTTGATGTCTTGACTCTTGTGCAGTTGTGTCTACGGCCTGCCCTCATAGAAAAAAGCTAACTGCAAAAAATATAAACAATTAAATTAGATATAATTTGAATCCATGAATTAGTTGAAAGCTTGAGTTTATTAGCCTCAGATTACCCTCCAAATAATTCATCATTCAATGAAATCTGAGTCAACAATATAATTTTTTGGTTGCGGACTTGTGAATCTGGAAATTGTCATCCAAGGCGGCATTTTGTATTTATACTTTAGTATCTGTTTGATTAACCCTCCAAATGCCACCTGGTTGCAATAACTTATTTCCCACAATTGACTTCACAATAAAGTTTAGAAGGGTACTCATCATCGCTACTCAACTTTCAATCATTTCGAAACCAACCATCAACACAGCCAACCAACCAATCAACACAAGCCAACAGCAACACACAGCCAACTGTCAACACAGGCAAAATAGGAATAACGCCAAAAGAATCTCCCTGCCAAGTGCAACATAGCCAACTAATCTCCCTGCCAACACAGCAAACTCGAGCTACCCAGCCGAGAAAACCACTAAATACTTAATGGGTTATCGGCTTGTTACTCCAAATACTTAGTAATAAGAAATAACAGTAGAAACTGCACATAAATAACAACAGAAACTGCACACAGAACATAGAGCATGACCTGGCTCTTTTGCATAGAAATAACAGCGCAGAAACTACACAGAAAGAAAAGTAGAAAACTACACATAAATAACAGTAGAAAGTGCCCAGAAATAATAGTAGTAGCTTCACAAGAATTAACATCAGATAACTGCACATAAATAATAGTAGAAACTAAATAAAATAACAGAAGAAACATGCTCAACACTCAACAGCACGAAATACATGAACATAGAGCTCGATCTGGCTCATTTGAATAGAATACGGCAGAACAGCTCAACCGCTCAACAGCACAGAAATACATGAACATAGAGCTCGACCTGGCTCATTTGCACAGAAATAACGGCAGAAACAGGCTCAACCGCTCAACAGCACAGAAATACATGAACATAGAGCTCGACCTGGCTCATTTGCACAGAAATAACAACAGAAACAGCACAGAAATACCAGAACATAGAGCTCGACATGGCTCGTTGAACAGAAATATGCAGTAAGTGAACAAAAGTGAAAATCCAGTCGGAAACTAACCAAAAAATCAGAAAAATCGAGCTCGACTTGGCTCGTTTGCAACCAGAATATCGGAAAAACCCTAACCCAAAAAACCAGAAAATCGAGCTGGAACTTCGCAACAACAGCAAGACAAATCTCACCTATGCTCATAATCTCATATATCGTGCTTCTTAAAAGGAGAAGAAAGGGAAAAGATGAGAGATACAAACAGCGAGAGATGTAAGTATTATGTATTCCTGTTGAGCCAAAGCAGATGTGCACGATAAACAGCACGAAAGGATGAAACCACGGACCAAGAATATGCCAGAGAAGGAGAAAAGAGGAAACCAGAGACAGATCGAGGAGATCTGTAGAGAAGAGGACTTCGGAAACCCTAGACGAAGCAGCGAAGAAGAGGAGAGGCTAGAGAGATACGGCGCGTGAATGAAAAATGATCTGCGTAAAACCCTAACGCGACTTATTTACTCATCCCGTTAGCGTTATCCGCGTGGAAATTAATTCCCGTGTCAAACGGGTCGTTAACGGTTACCGGGTTAACCCGGACCCGACCCGAAATTCAATTTCGTGTCATTTTTATGAACCCGAACCCGACCCGTTTTCCAAACGGTCGGGTCCAACCCGAAATTCCGTGTCGTGTTCGAGTCGGGTTTTCGGGTCGTGTCAATTATTGACAGCCCTACCTCCGACATTGCACAGTTCTGCCCTTGTGTAAGGGTATAAGGGAATTTGTTGTCATATAACAGCAACACAAATGCTCGACAGTTATACTACCCGAATAAAATTTATTCGTTCATATACAACAATTTTAGAAAATAATTTTCGGTACAACAACTTCACATAACGTCTACTGAAGCCATCTCCAACTCATCCTAAATCTCATTAAAGTTAAATACAATTCAGATTTCGTTTGGAGTGACTTTCTTGCTGCTTCTAAAAACAGTATTCTAGTAAAAAAAATTTAAGTTTTATCTCCTGTTTTTTGAGATTTAGGCCTGTAATCTTTTTGATATATAAAAAGGGTATTGCCCCAAATTTACCCCCCCCAAAAAAAAAAACGGTACCTAAAGATCAGCCAACGTAGAGCCCCGCGCCTCTACGAGGACGAGAAAAAGTACAAAATAAACAGTTCTTTCTAAAACTTCCATTTTCTGTCTCCTCTTCGGAGACATCCGATAAAATTGGAAAACTCCATTTTCTTGGCAACCGCTCTAAAACAAAATTTTGCGACAACATTGGCCAACCAAACGAGGCATCAGTCGGGAATCCATTTGCGAATGCGTGTCGGAGGAGGAGGAAGATGAGCGAGGAGACAGAAGGGAAGAGGAGAGAAACGGGTGAAATGGACCCATATCCCCAACCCAAACCTGGCCCCACTGGCCTTCCGTTACCGACCTCCCCCCTCGCCGTCTCCGGAACCTACCATCCCGGTGCCACCGCTGCATATCCTCCCCCAGCGTCCGGCGTCTACCCGCCCGTCTCCGCCGCATCTTTTCCTCCTCCTCCCGTTCAAGTTCCTTACCCCACCGGCCCTCCATACTATACTCAGAGCTACGAAATCAACCCTGGTATTTTCCCTATATCCGTTTCTTCCTCCTTTCTTTAGTATTGTTTAGAGTGGAACATCATGAATTGGGATTCATACTTGGTTAATTGATTTGATTACAGAGAAATGCTATAAATGATGAATAAATGGGTCTAATTTCACATGAAATTGATGATATGTCTCGTTTCTTCTTATCCGTTTTTATTAGCAAAAACAAATCAGTCTCGCAACAGCTATTTCACTGTTTCGGATGAATCATCGATCGCTTTATTCGTCAGTTTTAACAGATTCTACGAGAGTATTTTGAACTTTGCATTTGCTGCTTTTTAATATTTACTCTATTATTTGTAAGGGTAGTGCTCATATTCCATCAATGTAAAATCTCAAAACTTCATTTAAAACATTAAATCTAACAAGCTTATTTTTTACTATTCATTGTACATGTCCAAACCACTTACGTTTATTTTAACCACCCTATATTTAATTATAGAAGTCACTCTAATCCTTCTTTTAATATAATTATTTCCTAATTTATCTTTTTTAGTTTTCTTAATTATGCATCCATCTTAACATTTTCATTCCAATTATATTGAGCTCAAATAATTATAGTTTTTTTGTGGCCTCCATGACATTTTCTTTCATATTACACAATCTTTTAGGCACTTTTTCATTTTCGCCATTCAATCATAACTCTAAAAGTTACTTTTTTTTTATATATCTCTATTCTTTTGTACAATAGATCCAATATATTTAAATATATTATTCCTACGTATCATCTTATCTTTACATACTTGTTGCGTCCTGGAGTATTCGCGACGGTAGAGAAATATTTAGTTTAACGTCTTAGCATTGTACGAAGATTGGTAACTCAAATTGCGGTTTGAACCTTCCAACAGCGCTTCGAACCTTTGATTCGGACTCATTTGGGCTCGGATTGGGTTGATTTTGGTGTCGTTGGGTTCGTATTTCCGAGACGCTCAGTTTGACTGTAAGCTCGCTGAAATCGGAGTTCATATGCTCCCGAAATTAATTTTTGAAGTTTCCAACTAGGTTTTGCCTCGAGATTCGTGCCCGATCAAGATGATTTTTTCACGCCGTATCATCTCTATTCTTTTGTACAATAGATCCAAGATATTTAAATATATTATTCCTACGTATCATCTTATCTTTACATAATATTGAATTACAATTGTAATACCCATCAAAATTATTTGTCATATACTTGGTCTTTATTCAACTAAATGTTAATTCTACAACTTCTATCTCTTATTCCGTTCTATATTTTCATTTAATTCGATTGTTGCCTCACTAATTAGAACTATATTATCTATTAAATGCATATACTAAGACACATAGCTTTGATATCCCATATAAATATATTCACAACCAAGACAAATAGATATGAACTCAATATTGATCTTTGATGTAAACATATGATAATGAATTTTTTTTGTCACTTCAAAATAATTTTATTAGTAGTTAGTAGTCAGTACTCTATTATACATATTTTTAATAGCGTCAGCGCATATTTGATACACATTTTTATCTTAAAGCACACCAAACTATTTTTTTGTAATACTTGATTATATGTTTTCTCAAATTCAATTAATTAAAATAATATATATGAAGGTTCTTTTTTATTTCTAATACTTTGCCATTAAGTGTCATAACATAAAAATTGCTTGTATAGTTGATATTCTTGGCATGAAAACAAATTAGTTTTCCGAAATTGATATATTTTCTAGAACCATGATGCTTTCTTCTCTTTCATATCTTCATTGTATGGTTTATAAATTTGATTCCTTTATAATTAGCACAATCTAGAACATCACCTTCTTTTTTAAATATTGTCGCTAAAATTCTTTTTCTTCAATTATTTTACATTCTTTTAAGAGTCTCTAGCCGAACCCCTAACACTTATTTGTTGTCGCGTTTGAGTATCTTGAATTTGGCTGAAATTTGAGATCTCTTAGATTTAGGTTTTCTTTGGGCTCTAGCGGCGTCTAGAGATTTGGGAGAGATCGATCCTCCTCTCGAATTGAGGATCAATTGTATCTTGTGGTTTTTCTTGCATTTACCATTAATATCAAATATTTTGGTGTGATTTCTCTCAAAGTCTTCTCACCGTTTTCCCTGTTTTTCCTCTGTTGGCTGCTGTTTTACTGCTGAAAACAGCAGTTTGGTTGCTGTTTAATACTGATTTGGGCTGAAAAATACTTGATATCGAGTGTTTCCTATCAGAATATATACAGAATATTCTTTTTTTGTGTTAGAAAATGGAGTTCGGTTGGAATCGAGTTACTGCATTTTAGAGTATTATTGTATTTTGGAGTTAAAATTGAGTTTTTTGGTTGGAGATGGCCTTAGCCTTTAAAATTATATTGAAAAGATTTATCGACCAAATCATTACAAAATCTTTCATTATTCTCCGATTCTTTATATGTATCTCCTATGAATCTATAACCTTAAAAGTTATTATATTATTTTTAATACTTTTATAAAATATTTTGTTCCGTAAATGTTCATTCAGTAATTCCCCAAATTAACATTTTCATATTTTAGTAATATCTTTTTGTTTAGCCAAGATCCTAATATCTTTAATTTTAATGCATTTGACTTAATGAAAATCCTTAAATTTCTTTTCTCCTACCTTAGATATCATATATATTTTAATTTCTTCTTCTTTAATATCAAGCTTATTATGTAAATAAGAAAAAGTTATAGCTTTTCTTTGGTGCACTACTATTTTTACAAGACTTCTAGCTTTCTTGTAATCATTATAAACCTCAATAATATTCAATTTTTGTCACTTTTTAAAAGCTCATGTTTTCCTTAATGACTCTTTGTTTGTTCTTACTTCATATATATCTAAGCCTCATTATGAGTGTATGATCTATTTCAACAATCTCCTAAAGCTTCTACTACAATCCTCTTAATAAAGCAAGCCATCGTACCTCACATCAGATCTAAGTTAATAACTCTAATTTGCCTCTCTATCTAAAAATATGAAAAAATTTCAAACTTTCAAATTCCACCCTTCATTCCTAGATCTATATGTTCTTTTGATTATTTATTTATTTTTTAACCTTAAAACTTATATCCATAAGTACTACTTTATACTGCATGTCCGAGCTTTTTGTTAGATTCATCTTAAAATCTTTGCAAGAAGATTTTCTTTCATATTAATAGAAAGTTTTTATATGATTTAATGACTCAGCTTTTATAAGTGACAAAGTGTTCTCGTATTTTAAAGTATATTTTCACTATTGCAAGATCACAGGTTACTGCAAAATTAAGTATAGTTTATAATATTGCTTTTTAATTTCCTATTCCATTCCTATTGTAAATCCTCTCATAGCTTGGTACAATGTCACAAACACAATCAGTAAAAACAAGATGCCAGCAGGCCAACCTAGGGATTTTTTTTCTCTGGTAAGATCCTCTAATGCTCAAGTAGGTAATTGTTCTTGAAAATGAATAAGTAAAAGCTTCGAAGACAATTAAGCTAAAAATAAAAGTAGACATAGTCCCTTACCTTGCCCTCGTAAGGTAATTTATAGACACTTATATGAAGGTATACTGGAATCTTGGTTAAATTATGGTGGACAAATGAACCATGTTGCCTCTAAGATCTGCATTGGACCAAAATGTTATCTTGATTGAAGGCATTTTGATCCTCTGGTTATCAATGAATGCAGATCCACGTTACATTTTCTTTTAGATTCAAGCTTCACATCACATCTCTAACTGTCACATCCTTAGGATGGAAAGATACACCTCAGCAACACAGGACTGAATGAAGGGACTTAAAATATTAGCTCACGTAACAAAACTTGAGTGCTAAGTAAAGCAATTTTGAATTATAAAATTGTACTTATATACATGTGGCGCAAGATTAAATATTAGCTAGAGTAACTTATATTACTTATATAACCATTGGTACCTTGATACACATATATCCTTTACTTCGTGGAGTTATACCAAAAAATGTTGTTGTTCCTAAGGCTTAATACCAAACTAGTAGTCATTAGCTAGTTTAGTTCCACTTGCTTTATCAAGCAGAAAAATGAGTTTGTTAAATGTTAATGTATCGCATGCTTTTATTTATGCTCAAAATTCTAATACGTGATTAAAATTTTTGAACTTTTCATATATAGATGAACTTATCCATATTTTCGGTTCTTATTTTGTTTAAGGCGATGCTGCAACAATTGCTCAAACAACGGCTATAAAAATTGAAAGACTTCCTTGTTGGGGCCTTGGTTTTGGCTGGTTTTTGTAAGTATTATTTGGTTTAGTTTTGCAAGTGCTTCATAGTATCTGGTTTTTCAGTATATTATTTAATCTGATTGTCATTTATTAAGAGTTCCAAGTGATGCGCGCCTGAGTTAATTATTCAAAACATTTTCCTTTGAAGGTTTATCATTGGGTTTTTTCTGGCCGCTATTCCTTGGTATGTTGGAGCTTTCATTATCCTTTTTATTGAAGTAGATTACAGGGAGAAACCAGGATACATTGCCTGCTCGATTGCTGTAAGTATTGGTTCTTAGACTATCCTCAAGTAAATTTGTTTATTTGATGTTCCTGTTATTATCTTGGTTCTTTCTTGCCTTTTAATTTAGATAGTGCTTCTAATGTTCCCTTCAGCTTTTCTATAAGTTCCCTTATTTAGATTATGATTTGTTATCTACATTTATTTAGGATTTCTTGGATTTGTAAGTAGGATTATAGGTTTATTTGTTGCTATGAATTGAATTGGAGCTATGGACAGGGAAAATAAACTTGGTAATCATTAAGATTAGTATTTTTTGAGGCTACACAAATATTAGGCTTTGATACATCACCAAAAAACTTACCTAATCAAGCATAAATATCTACATAAGTATTTAAATTAGAAATCTTCAAAATTAATTGTGGGTCATTTAAACTTCATTTTCAATAAATTTATAGTTTAAATAGACCTATTGATGAGATAAAGTCAAGTACAACAAAAGTGTCTTGGCCCGAGTCCAAATATACTTAAATCAAGTACTCGAGGGTATAATTGACAACTTCACAACACCTTTAGAGGGTCAAAATAATATTTGAATATGGTGTGCTTACTAGTAAAATAAGCGTCTCAACGAGAGGAATTTCGATGAGGCCATGATTGTTTAATTTTGTTGACATCAAGGGACAAATGCCTAAAGAACCTTGTCAATAAGAGGATCAATACAAGCCATTCGAGAATGTATTTAGGAATTTTTGCCAAAATAACTAATATGTCACTTCCAAAAAAATATTAGTAGACTCACTTTCTATACATGAAGACGACTTGATATTGAAGAGAGCTTAGAGATCTAAAAAATTCTATATCTTTGTCCTCCAATCATCACTAACAATCATCGTCGCCTGATTCTTATCCCTAGATCATTGTGCCTACTATTATCTCCTTACCATCAACCACCTTCTACCAACTGACGTTGACATCCGTCATCACTTTCGTCAAAAGATGTTGCATCTTTCATCACCTGACTATTATCTCTCACTGATGGTGTAACAGTCCAAACTCTTAACTATCGAGTTATTGTACGATTTGACCTAAAAGCCTCACAATTTTATCTAGTTGGTGTAACTTCCCAGGAGGTCACCCATCACAGGATTTCTCTAGGATGAGCATGCATAATTGTAGAGTTTCTTAAATGAAATTTTAACAATTACAGTAAAAGGCACCTCGATGTTTAAGAGTTTAATTTCTTTTATTTAAGGGATTTCACAATCTCCCCCACTTATGTAACTGACATCATCGTCAATATTTTTATCTCATAATCATCCATCAGGCACATAGGATTCTAGATGTAGCCCTTATAAGTTCAAGTAGTGAATTTACCATGTAGCATTTTGTCCCATGCATGATTGAAAAGGTGGCCATAGCGTAGCACTTTATCTTATATGACACATAGTTCCCATATTTGGGCTGGTGTATTGCTCTGATATCATTTGTAATAGCCCAAATTTTTAACTATTGAAATATTATACGCTTTGGCCTGTGGGTCTCACAGTTTTGTTTTATTGGTGTAACTTCTGAGGATATCACCTATCTCAGGATTTCTCTAGAATGAGCACACTTAACTGCGGAGTTTCTTAAATAAAACTCCAACCATTACATAAAAATGCGTCTCAATGTTTAAAAGTTTAGATTTTTTACTTAAGAGATTTTACAGTTGGCGTCTGCTATCACCTAACGAACCACTGTCGATCTCTGTTAACCTACATTGATGACCATCATGCCTCAATCACTTCCATCCGTCGTTGATTGACACTAACGTTTGTTATATTGACATTGTTGTTTGGCTATTATTGTGTGTTTTTTAAAAGTTATTATGCTGAAAAATAATTTTTTATAATGAAAATGGCTTCTTCTTTTTTACTTCCCTACCCTAAAAAAAATTCTACGATTTTAAATTTTATAATACCTACATCTTTTAAAAAATTAATTTTCCTCATAATAATTATTCAACTATTTCTATAAATAATTAAGGCCACATAAATGAACCCTAAGTCAACAAGACGTTGAGTGTTCAAGAAATTGAAGATTATGCTTTTCTTTCATACATGAATAAACTGAAGAAAAAGAAACTAAGGGTTTTTTTAACCCTTTTTTTATTTTCTAAAGCAATTTTTTTTTACAAAAATTTTTTTGGCTTTGTTTGTAAAAGTTTTTTTACTTCTTTCTAAAGCAATTTTATAGTGTAAAATTTTCTTTTTAAATTTTTTTTTTTTTACTAAAAAGCCAATTTATAAAACAATGTAAAAACTGTCCCAAACGAATATCCCATAATTGTTGCTTCAGCCATACATTTGAGCTTTCTAACCCTTATTAATTTCTTTTGACTTTTTTTTTTTTTTTTTGTTCTTGGTTTTGTCAGTCTGTCATTGCTGCAGTAGCGGCTTTCTTCGGGTTGATACAGGAAGCTTCTAGATGGTGACCAACTAGAGTCTACAACCTTACACAAAGGCATTGCTTGTATAGAAGGGATACGTTTCTTGATCCTGAAACATGAATTTTATATGAACTTTCTTCTTTGATAATCATGATTTATATTACAATTTTAGATTAATTATTTTATTAAAGCTGGTTTATACATTTTTTAAACTAACTATATATTTTAAGAATTTTTTTGCTTGAAAGTAAAAAAATAAAATTGAGTCTTTATTTGGGACGATTTTTTTACTGCTTTATAAAGCATTTTTTTAGTATAGAAATAAAAATTTTATACTAAAAAACTGTTTTAAGAAGCATAAAGAAAGTCATCCCAAACGAAGCCTTTTGGGCGGCTTTCTTAATGCTTCTTAAAAAAACTTTTTCGTATAAAAATTAAAAATTTTGTGCTAGAAAGCTGTTTTAAGAAGCAGTTGGGACGGTTTTTTTTTTTCTTCTTAAAGCAATTTTCTAACACAAAATTTTAATTTTTGTATTAGAAAGATGATTTAAGAAGCAGTAAAAAAACCGTCTCAAACGAAGCCCGTTAGTGACAACTTTCTTACTACTTTTTAAATCAGTTTTTTTCGTACAAAAATCTCTAATTCAAAAATTTTTTGTACTAAAAATTTTCTCTAAAAAGCAGCAAGAAACCTGCTCCAAATTAAGCCTAATTACAAAAGAGGGCACAAAACTAATTAGAAATTGAAAATTATGCAGGAATTTAAAGAATTATAATTTAAGATAATTGTAGGCTGGGCGTTAATAGGTAACATTTTGGGTTCGGTTGATATAGTTTCCTTATGGTTTTATTTTTCATATCGTAATCATAATTTTTATTTGATCAATATTTTTTGGTTGCTTTCAAACATATTTTTTACTAAAAAAAATGATTTGCAAAATAATTAAAAAAATTACTTTCTTATTTTTTCTGCGACAATTTACAAAGAAGCAAGAAAACTATCCCGAACGAGAATATTGATTTTTCGGAGTTTTTAAGGGTGAATTTAAATTAAAATTCATATTCATAATGCATTATATAATATTAAAAATTATATAAAAAAAAAAAAAGACATTAGCAAACAACAGAAGCAAGCCCGAATCTATTGACCGAATAGATCACTTATTCCACCAACCGAAGATAGCAACCGTTTGACAAACGCGATGCACCCAATAAAAGCATGATCGAGTGGACGAATCAATAATCAGTCAACAAAAACCTTCACAGAAAAAATAAAAATAAAAATAATAATAATAATAATATATACTTTATGAGAAATTAATATTATATCAAAATATAATTACAATTATACCCACAATTCCACTTTATGATATTCATTATAGGCTATATTAAGTCATTATTTTCTTGATTAATGCACTTTAATATTTTCTAGATGGGAATATAATTTTTTTTCTCTTTTTGACTCATTGCTATAAGGTGACTTTTGTTAAATGACCGTCCCATCAATCATTTAATAAGTTGATGGAAGGAAAATAGTATAATGAATTCAGAACAATTATTATTATTATTATTATTATTATTATTATTATTATATCATAAAAAAATTATGCTGATCGGCACGAATCGCAAGGCAAAATTAAGTTGGAAACATTCAAAATTAAAATAGGGACCATCCGAACTCTTATTTCAGCAAACTTATAGTCGAACTGATCGTCTCGGAAATACGAACCCAACGACACCAAATTCAACTCAATCCGAGCCCAAATGAGTCCAAATCAAAGACCTGAAGCGCCATTAGAAGTTTCAAACCACAATTTTGATTACCAAACAGTTTCCAAATGTGGCATGCTTATAGTCGAATCGAGCGGCTCGACGAGATGAATCCAACGAGCTCAAGATCATTGAATTCTGATATCACTAAGAAATTCAAATGTCTAGTAAACGATCCACGTCAAGAGAATCAACATCGGTCATACATGCAAACTACTCCCAACTTATCCTTGATCTTCCTCTTATTTACTAGCCATCCTACTCTACGAAATCTATAAATAGACACTTCATTTATCATGAAAAGGGACCCTAAGCAAGGCAAGTAGAAAGATTAGAGATCGTTCTTGCCACCTAGCTTGTTATCGACCAGCACCAGACGCCAAGCTTCTGTCGGGCCATCGCCTAATGCCGGTCTTCTGCCCGACCATGAACTGGTGCTCGGACTTCTGCCGGACCATGAACTAACGCCCGACCACCAACTGATGTTGGATTTTCGTCCGACCAAACTTCGTCAGATTTGCACCTGCCCCTGTTTGTCATTAGATTTCAACCAGACAGTTGATTATTGTGATCTAATCGCCCTCAATGATGATTTTGTCAACTATAATCTTCTTAAATACATGTGGAATCATTTTAATAGGGCATGGCCCCATGATTTTTCCCCTTTTCAGGATTTTTCTTGTAAAAAATATTATGTTATCTATTTGTGTGCTGGATATTTGTACAACGCTAAGACATAAAATTCTAACTCTACCGCCGCGTATATTCTAGCCCGCAACAATTATTATTCTAATTAAAATTACTTTATTGCATCATGATTCATATTGATTCCTTCATCAATTTTGATCACTTCGGTAGAATTAGTAGTGATCTCTAATCCGTAGGCCCAATTCTGATTTTTGTTCTGAAACATCGATTAATGTCTATAGAAAAGTATTAATTAGCAATCGTATTTGTAATTAATTAATGACTAATTCATGTTTTGGGCCTTGATTAAGGTATCATTTTACTGATTATTGTTCTTAATTGGAGTATTTAGCTCGTAAATAGGTTTACTGAGGGCAACTATCTTCTAAATGAACAAAAAATAAATTATCTAAATTTATTAGGATTGATACGTCATCACATGGTTTTTCCCTTTTAAGGGTTTTCCACGTAAAAAATCTTGTGTTCTCTGTGTGTGCTAGTTATACGTTCAACGCTAAGACGTAGAATCAAATCTCTATCGCCGCGTAATTTCTAGTCCGCAACAAGGATGATAAAATATATTTGATACCCAAGGCTTAGGCTGATTGGTGGGCGAGCACGGATGGGAACCCCTCAGTCCGGGTTCAAATCCCCTCTACTTTGGTCTCGTCTCTTCAGTGAGGCAAAGCAAGTGTGGGTCCAATGCTAGTGGGTGGCCTTACTAGGTTCCACCGAGATATTTGTTATACCGCCAAACGCTCCCTTTAGAGTGACAGCGGGTAGATACCCCGTTCTAAAAAAAATGATTGATTAGTTCTGGGATAAAATTATTAATTAGCTGCTGCTAATTAATAGTCAAGTGATAATAGTTGGATGAAAAAATCTGTCAATAATGATAGTTATTGCTTATAGTGATTATAAAAAATAATCATTGATAATGCAATATAGTTCTTAAGCTTCCTTTGGGAAAGCTTTCTTACTGCTTTTTATTTTTATTTTTTTTTTTTTTTTTTTTTTGAATTTTTTTTTTTTGTATTAGAAAGTTGATTTTGAAAGTAATAAATTTAATAATTAAAAATCATTCTAATAAAAAATTAATTTCGTAAGGGTGCACTAAGGAACTATATTTTCCCACCTACCAAGGCTCATCAGTTTCTCCGAACTCCACAAATCCATACCTTCCCTTAGAAGATTTATATGAAAATAATTTAAATTTAAATTGTAAGCATGAAATAAATAAATAAATAAATAATCTGCATTTTTTTGGAGAAAATTCTCAGGGCTTACGCGTTAATTAAAAGCGAGGTTGCAAATCCTTAATGGATCCCAAAGTGAAACAAAACATAAGAGCTAATAGATCAAAACTATTATACAAACATGAAAGCAAGAAAAAGAAAAACAACAGAGAGCAAAGCGGGAGCCAGAAGCATGAGGCAAAAAGCATATCCACTAATAGACGAGCAATCCAATTTATGATTTAAACCTTCCAAATGTGCTTCGGGTTTTTAATTTGGACCCATTTAGGTTCGGATTGGGTCGAATTTGATGTAGTTGTTTTCGTCTTTTCGAGACGTTTAGTTTTACTATAAGTTTGCATAAATCAGAGTTTGGATGGTCTAGAATTTAGTTTTGGAAGTTTATAATTTAATTTTGCCTTGAGATTCGTGCTCCATCAAGATAAATTTTTGATGATATATCAATGATAAAATATATTTAATTGATTAGTTGTGGGATAAAAATTTTAATTAGCTGCTGCTATTTAATAGTCAAGAGATAATAGTTTGATGAAAAAAATCTGACAACAATGATGGTTATTGTTGATAGAGATTATCAAAAGTAATCATCAATAATGCAATAGAGTTCTTAAGCTTTGTTTGGGAAAGCTTTCTTACTATTTTTTTAGTTTAAAAAATGTTTGAATTAAAATCTTTTTGTATTAAAAAGGTTCTTTTCAAAGCAATTAAACCTTTTGTCTCAAACAATAAAAAAACTTCGTTTGGGATTCAAATGGCTAAGCCACTCAATTTAATTTTAGTGATCATTTGAAGACATTTGATCCCTCATTTAATAGAACTTTTATTTGGTCTGGTGACCTGACGTAGTTCTACGTTCGGACGCCAGTAAAATAGTGTCATGTGTTCTTACTCTTTACCGCGTGGCCCGACAACCTGACCCTGAACGGACTCGAGATTGCTATGTTCGCGTATTGCTCGGTATTGCTAGGTATTGATCGATTTAGTTCGGCAATAAAAAGAAATATCATTCTGTGAAGACCAATACCTAGCAATACCGAGTTTTTCTCGGTATTGGTCGGTATTGGCCTTGACAAATCGGTATTTCTCATTATTGCCAAGCAATACCTAGCAATACCGAGCAATACGCGAACATAGCAATCCTGGGCTCCGGTCCGAGTCGGGTCATCGGGCCGCACGGTAAAGAGTAAGAACACGTGGCGACATATTATTAACGTCCGAATGTAGAGCTACATCAGGTCACCTGACCTAATAATTGTTCCAATTAGTGTCCCAAAGCTTTCTTAAAATAGCTGTAGTTATTATTTTCCGAATTTATTATTGAATTTGATAAATTTAAATCTTAGCAAATTTAGAATTTCAATTTTCAAACTGCCCATAAATACTATCTGACTAAACAAAAAGTTTGATTGACAATGCTAAGGTGGTTGGCCAACGAACTTTAGAGAATTTATTGGGGAAAAAAATTAGTTTTTATTACAATTCATTTTAAAATTATTTATTTTTAAATATAATATATGAAAAATTTCTATTATTGTATCTTTAAATAAATTTAATAATTAAAAATCATTCTAATTAAAATTTAATTACGTAATTGTGCACTACTGAACTCTTTTTTTTCTACTGCATATAAAATGTTAGAGCCTTCATATGCAAATCCTAAAGTTCATTTAAAATGATTTTTTATAAACATAATTAGAATTTTTATAGAGAAAATAATTTTAAAAAATTGATATAAAAATTAGCTTTTTATTATAAAATTATTTTTAAAAAAGATCAAATAAAAATTAAAAATATGATATTAAAAATTAAAATAATAAAAAAATGTACGAACAGATCTAATTTGATCTGGACGGTCCAAATTCCAGATCAAAACAGGCACGAGCCAACCAACCGTTTGATAAAATCTAATTTATTATTTGCCCCACCGGTTCATCAAACGTGGACCTTCCCTTAAACGCATATTAACCACGAATCAATCACCGTCCGTTCAAATTTTCAGATTGCATATCGACCGTCCATTCAAGGTTGTTGGTGATCGTGGGGCCCACATTTTATTGCACCATATTTCACTCAACACGTAATCTGGCAATGTTCACATTTCTTACGAGCGGTGACGCTATTTATATCTCAGAGGAGTGAACTCTCTGCATCGATTCTTCTTCGGAGTTCGGAGGTAAAAATCCGTCGACTTCTCCTATTAGCTAATTTGGGTTTCTTATTTCTGGGGACTAAATTGCCTGATTTCACTGTGTTTAGCTTACTTTCTTTTTGTTTATTTTCTTCCTCCATAGAAGTGCAATCTTGCTGGTTTTTTGCTTTTTCTGCGGGCCACTTTAATCGGAAGTCTGTGTAATGGCGGAGGAATCATTGAATGCAAATGAGGTATGAGTTTTTGGATGCGTAAGGACATTTGGGTTAGTAGTAGGAATGAGTAAAATTACTTCAGTTTTTATTTTTTTTTTCTTTTAAATTTGGTTGTTCAGCCTGGTTTTTGGCGTACAGGTTGTTCTCGCTGAAGAAATTGGCCATGTATCAGTGATCACTTTGAATCGGCCTCGTCAATTGAATGTTATCTCATCTAGAGTGGTTGGCAAAGATCAGATTATGATTTATTGCATCTTTCTGTTTTGATGAATATGGGTTTTGTGTTGGATATGAATATGAGGAATACAATTATTTTTAGGTTGAGCTGGTTGCTAAGTACCTTGAGAAATGGGAAAAGGATGATGATACTAAGCTTGTGATATTTAAGGTGAGTTTTTTTTATTAATTTTTCATATAATTTGGTTAATTTTTTAATCTGTAAATTCTTTTCAGGGTGCTGGGCGTGCCTTCTCTGCTGGTGGAGATCTGAAAATGTTCTATGCGGGAAGAAAAGGTCTCTTTCAACTATTAATATTATAATCTTATCGAATATTTTAGATTTGGCCTTTATGTTGAATTTGTTTGGTTTGGATTTTGGAGATAAATTTTAAGTCATTTCCTTATGCCTTTCTATTATTTTAACAGATGATTTCTGCCTTGAGGTTGTGTATAGGATGTATTGGCTATGTTATCACATTCACACTTATCAGAAGACAATGGTAATGCTTCCTTGTATGTTTTGAAGATAATGGTTTTCTTTTTTTTACTTTTTACTGCTTCTAATGGAGAAATCATGGAGTAAAAAAAATATTTCTTGATAAAATTCTAGGTGGCCCTTGTTCATGGAATTGTTATGGGCGGAGGTGCGGCTATGACTGTCCCATTGAAGTTTTCTGTTGTCACTGAGAATACTGTAAGTGTCAACAGTATTAGCTTTATTTGGCAAACTGCATATTTATTTCATAGAAAGCCTATTTCTCTGAGGGAGCTTTTTATGCAAACAACATTATATTGTAAAATTTCCTTTCTTACGCCGCCCACCTTAGCCTAATGGTTGGGTGCTTTGGCCCACATCACAAGATTTTGAATTCAAGGCTTGGCATATATTGGTGTGTGGAATTGTGGAAGTTTGCAATTAAAATATCTGAATATCATTATCTTATTATCCTTTATAGTGGACTATTACTCTTTTCAATTCCTTGTTTTGGAATTTCCCTAAAAAGAAATGCATGGACAGAATTTTATACTTTACACGTTTTTCTATTTCATACTCTGGTTGGCTTGAAGGAATTGAAATAGATGAAATGAAAATGTTAAGAAATTGAATTGAAATTGTTTATTGCCGACTTATTTGATTGAGGAACTAAGTGAAATTTTTTTTCTTTCATATTTGGTTGGTGAGAAATTGATGTTTTTTTTCTTGTGAGAATAGGATATGTGAATCATAATAATAACCCGATAAATTCTTCTTCCCCTTTTCTTACTAAGTTTGAGTAAAGGATTGTAAGTGGCAAAAATGCATTTTTTCAAATTTACAGACCTCTGTAAATTTAATTTCCTATTAATTACATTGCAACCGAACACCAAATACAAAATTCAGTGATAAAATGTTTTTGCATTCCCTCCACTTCCTTCAAACCAAACATACCCTACCCTCAAAACACTCCTGCTAATTATCATGTTTCTGAGTATATAATTTCTAGCAAGTTCTTTTTTTGGATATAGTTGTGTTAAATTCCAGTATATCATTTACAGGTTTTTTCTATGCCTGAAGCTAGCGTTGGTCTTCATTCAGATTGCAGCTTTTCTTACATTCTTCCACGTCTTCCTGGCTATCTTGGTAAGGAAGTATTTTCACTAAGAAATGTTAGCGTAGTAGACTGGTGAGAATGCTCTGCTTGTAGAACGGCAGTTAATCCAGAAAAAAATATTCCACTTCCTTTTCTATTGATGATTTTTTGGAGAGGATTTCCGACCAAGGTTTAAGAGACGGAAAGGTAAATTAGCAATGTTAACTTCTTTTAATATATGCCTGTACAAATCAGTGGTAGGATACAGTAAGAAATGGTTCTTTTAGTTTGATTGTATGAGTGGTACATATTTTTTATGGAAAGTAGACTGAAGTGATCCATTCAGCTCATTTGTGGGTACAATATGTATCAATAAAGTGAGGAGATCAAATTTCTGGATTAGAAACGAGAAATACAGAAAACAAAATTTTTGTGTGCAAAATAGAGTTAAAACAATTTGATGCACTAAGAAGGAATCAATGCAGGACGATTCATAAAGCTAAGCCCAAATAATTGTGGCTAAACTTATGATGATGTCTATATTTATTTTACTGATATAACAAACACGCAGATTACTACACAGTGGTGGAGCTAGAAATTTTATTCATGGGGGCTTAAATTAAAATACTTTTGTTTTCCATCTTATTTGGTGTCGTTGCGTTTGTAATTTTGAGACGTTCAGTTCGCCTATAAGTTTGTTGAAATCGGAATTCGAATGGTCTCTGATTTAATTTTGAAAGTTTCAGGCTTGATTTTCTAGCTTTGATATTCTTCATTACTCCCATGACTACACAGAACCCTTTATGCCATTTTCCACCTTTTTAGTTATTTTCTTGGTAAATGTTCAGGGGAATACTTGACCTTAACAAATGCAAGGTTAAGTGGGAAGGATATGGTTGCAGTTGGTCTTGCTACTCACTTTGTCCCATCCGAGGTATTTTTGTATGATATTCTTCATTCCAGTTTATCAGAGAAATTATTTTCAAGCTCTTGTGGCACCTTTCGTTTTTATCAAAATGGCAAAACGAGTTCTAGGTACATGGACATAACATGAAATTTCTTATTCCTTTTTTTGGCAGAAATTGAAAGAGCTTGAGAACCGTTTATTGAGTTTGAATTCCGCTGATGAAAATACAGTTAGTAATGTGATTGAGGAATTTTCAATAGATGTCCTCCCCGAGGAAGAAACCATCTTGAACAAGTAATACATCCAAGCATTAATGAAACATTTTTGTTACTGTTCAACATAAGTAACATTAACTTTCTGATACTAATTCGGGATTCTTTTATTGATACAGGCTACAAACAATTAATAAGTGCTTTTGCAAAGAATCTTTGGAAGAGATAATAGAATCATTTGTAAGTCTACAAAATTATTGACTTCCACATGATTGTTAAATATCATTTGATCTATTTTCTTGAACTTTATATTTTCTAAGAACTCCTCTTGTCAACATGTCATTTGTAATTAAAGCATTCCCATGCTATATCTTATAGGACAACTTTCGAGTAATGGGATTTTAGATTTTGTAGCTTTGAATTTCATTGGTCATGCGATTTCAACATGTAGTAAGGCCTTGTGATTCGATGCATTCTCTATTGTTTTTCTTTAATGAATGGATTTGTTTTAAGAAGAGATCTATACGCTATATGCATAATACTATCCACTATGAACTGATAAAGTATCATATCCATCCTTCCTGCGAATATTAATGCAACTCTAAAGATCCTAAAAGTACTCACTCAAAACTTATATTTTTAGCATGTAAGAAATATGGATGACGACTATGCAGTTCAAAAAGAGTAAATGCAAATCGTTTATGGGTTTGCTCATGTCAATAACTATACCAGAAAAACTGTAAAGGAAAATTATGAACCTATTTTATGAACAGTTGAAAGATCTGCCATTGCTGAATTGAGTTTTGACAGAAGGCTCATTTGTCGCAAACTTTTGAAAAGGGCCGAGTTAACTGCATCTCATTATTTGGTTAAGCTTAAAACTTGTCTATCCCTATAACCATCCATTATAATCGAAATAAGGAAATTTTAATTTAGGCTTCGCTTGGGATGGTTTTCTTATCGCTTCTTAAAATAACTTTCTAGTACAAAAATTTAAATTTTTGTAGCAGAAAGCTGCTTTAAGAAGTGGTAAGAAAGCCGTCCCAAATGAAGCCTTAATTTGCATGATAGTAGCGCATAGATACTCTAGTGCTTAACCTATCTCCTTTTTCTTATAGGAAGCTGAAGGATGGAATAATGGCAATGAATGGATATGGCCTGTGCTCAAAGTGCTTAAACGAGCATCACCGACTGGTTTAAAAATAACGTTGCGTTCAGTATGGTTTCTACTTTCTAACCTTTTGCAGTTTCTTATTTATCAATATGATATCCCATTTTTTACATGGTTGATAAATATATTAGATGTTGTTACTGAGGTCTTAGGATGTTTTTGTGGATGACGACTAGCTTAGTTGACAGCTTTTTCTATACAGATTAAGGCTTCGTTTGGGACAGCTTTTTTACTGTTTTTTGAAGTAGTTTTTTAGCAAAAAAATGTAATTTTTGTACTAAAAAGCTGCTTCAAGAAGTAGTAAAAAAACCATCTCAAACGAAGTCTTATACATGCATAATGAAGATAAAATTATCATCTTCTTTCCTGCTAACACACCTTAGCTGTTTGGTAGATCCGGGAAGGAAGGAACCAAACTTTGCCCGAGTGTCTAAAGAAGGAATTCAGGCTTACAATGAACCTGCTTAGATCTGTGGTATCCGAAGATGTTTATGAGGTAATGCAAAAGCTGCATAAGCATTTCAGTTTTGTTATAGCTAACCTGGTTTCTCAAAAACTCTTTTTCTTTCTGCCTCAGGGAATCCGAGCTTTTAGCATTGACAAAGATAATGCTCCCAAGGTACTCTCATATATTTATCACTTACATTAAATAACAATTATATAATTTCAAAACATAAAGTTTTACATGTACAATTTTTCAGTGGAACCCTCCTACCCCTGGGGAAGTAAGCAATGTGTAATGTGTCTCTTGGTATTCCTCTTTCATACCTATAAATATGGGAGGATTTGTAATGTTTAAAGTATGTTATGAAATATTATTTTTGGAAAAGTTTTAACCTGCGGTTGGCTTTGGAAATCCTGCGGGCTCTTTCCACCCTTCTTTCTCATCCCCTCCGGAAATCCTGCGGGCTCTTTCCAACCTTTCTTCTCGGGCTTCTAACCTCTTTCGTCTCTCCGCAAGTGCCACTCCACCTGTATCCTTCTTCTCTAATTGCGGCAACTTTAGGGTGTCGTCATTTTGTTTGCAAGAGTCGTTTGTATTGGTGTAAGTTTTCTTTTGTTTAGTTTAAATTGAAATGTGAGAGTTTGGTCTTTCCTACTTCTCGTCCTTAGTCATTTTCGTCGGTAGAAGTCCGTCGTGTCTTTTGTGATCAAGAGATATATATTTTTTTTGATCGCATCAGGGTCCCTGCATGAATTCTCATTTACGTGGATATAGGGGTTGTTTTGACTTCATATTGTTGTCAGTTGACCTAGTTTACAGTGACCTCCTTTATGTTTTCCAACTTCTATATTGTTTGACTCCTGTGTTGATGCATACAAATTTCAGTTTATTTTCATTTTTTTATTGTAATTCAAATACTATATTTTTTTTTTTTTAATTTTTTTTATTATAGCAATTTTCAACCATTTGTAGAAATAGAGATATATCAAGATACTAGTTTCTTAAAATGAAAATATATGCTAGAGGAAAATAAAATTCTGGTGAAAGTTAATAATGTTGGGGAAGTAAAATACGTAATGAGCACGAACAAGAAATAGAAAGCTGTAGCAGAAATAAGGAACATCAAGATTTAACATGGAAAAACTTGAACCGGAAAAAAAATCACCGATTCAGACTACTTCAAGAAATTTACTATGAAAATTTAAGAGAGAGTATAGATCTCTCTTCTCTCTCTCTCTCTCTCTCTCCCTCCTTGTATCTCTTAACTCTTGTATTGTTCTCTCACAAGAATAAACAAAGAGAAACTCATATTAACTGCATGCCTGTCTCACAGCATCGTGGTGCTAGATTTGAAGCATTGTCACGCTCAACTCTCTCTATAGCCTACTTGATAGAGCCGCAGTGTTAGGTCTAGAGCATCGCAACGCTCCTTGGCAATGTCGTAGTGTCGGGGTTTGTAGCGCAACTGCGCTCCGCTCTCTATGCATCTCCAAGCAAACTATATAGAGTCATAATGCTTTGTAAAATTGTACTGGAAAAAAATATAATAATATATAAGTGTGTATGTAAAATGGATATTTTTTAAAACTCATATACTTTAATAACTTTGATCGTAAAAAGTAGCTTCCTACCACAAAAAAAAATTAGATAATTATGAAAAAAATAGCAAAAAGTAGTAGCAAAATGAAAATGTAGTTGTGATCTAAGAAGTAAAATGGTGTGAAAGTTATCCCAAGCCAACCCTAAGATGTAGTTGGTAATGGTTTAACCTATGAAATTTTAATGTTCATATGCTATGATTTACATATTTTTTGCTTAATTTCAGACCAATATTGTTTTGTCATTGTCATCATTCAGTCTTTTTTTAATTATTTTTTAAAGATAAAAAATGAAACAGATAGTAAAACATTGTTTATTTTCTATTCAAATAGCTCCCCGTCTTTGTTAGAAGGGGGGCTACAATAATAATGCTTTTTTTTGTTGATTTTATTTAAGATATTTATGTTGGTTTAGCTAAATTTATTGTTATAGGTACTTTTTTTAATGAAAGATTATCATCATTAATACTGAGAAATTAGCGGAGTACTTGTATTTAAGATCATCAGTTTTGAATGATTATTGTTAGATCTTGCTTGAGAGAGGAAGAAGCACTTTCTCTTCTTGATCTTGAGAGAGGAGGAGAGAGGGAAGGGGAGAGGGAGAGAGCTGAATTCAGATTATTATTTCTTCACCATGCCAATACAACCTAAAGCTCCTATTTAAGCACAAAATTGCAACACAAAAAACTACATTATTGGCTATACAAGCCAAACAAAAAACCAAAACAAAATATAATTCTAAATCTAAGATCAATATTTAACAATTATTTTCTTAAAAAATTATTTTGTGAATTTTAATTATAAAAAGATCATGACGAGTTTTATAATGTGGTAGAAAATATGTGTCTGTCAGAGTGCTGTTAATATCTTAATTTTGGATAAAAATTCAATACGTACAAAAGAAATTGCAAGAGAAAAAAAATTTACATAGAAAGTTCAAGGTTTTAAAAATCGGACCAGAAACCGGTTTAGTTTAAAAACCAGCTTCGCAGAGAACCAGTTTGAATCGGCAGTTCAACCGGCGAACCGGTCCAAGTTCAAAAGTACCGGGCGATTTTAATTTTTTTTATTTTAAATAAAATATAAACAATATATTTTACTTTATTACATTTTTTATATAGATGTAATCTCATAAATAAATTTTGTTAGAAAAGCAGAAACTATATAAAGAACTAAAAGACAACCATCTCATACTCAAATTATAATATATTCATCATTTCTATTTAATTTAGTTATTTTGAGAGATAATCAATTAATATTATATAGTTTAAATTCTTAGAATTATATGGTTTGAAGTTAGATTATCATAATTATTCTATTAATGTTATTAATTTTTAATAATATTATTATTTATTACATAATCCGGTTCGACCGGTTGAACCTTGAACCTCTCATTCTTCCGGTTTTTTGTTCGGTCCGGTTTTCACAAAAATGGAAAAAATTAGCATCACTAAATTTCAAAATTTCAAAATTTACTTAGACTAGTGTTATATTTGTATTACATTCATTTAAAAAAAAAAACATTAAAATTTTTTAAAACTCACCTTATCAAAATTTTAAGTAGGCTATCTTGATAAATTTTTTTCCCATTTTCATAAGCTTGAAATGCTCAATCTTGATATTTAACCAAGCTTAAATCTAATTAAGCTTATCACTTAAAAAAAATTGCTTTGCTTTAAACTTAACCATGATGCATCATTAACAAAAAAACTTAATCTTTGCTTGAGAAAATTTTTTCATTGCATCTTAAAGCAAATTTTTAGTAAAAAAATATAAACATTTTGTACTAAAAACTTAAGAAAGCCATCATATACAAAGCATTAATTGAGTGTTTTAGAAAATTAGTTATGGAATTACTATGAAGAAAATAATTTGGCCGTGTTAGTTAAAAAGCAGCTTTCAATCACAAAAAATTCTAATAAGCATTGGAAAATTAATAAAAAATAATAGTGAGGGAAATTTTGATTGCTATCTAAAAGCAAAGAAACTATAAAATTTTCCTTATGTGGCAAAATTTCTGGCACAGTTTAATTATCTAATTGATATAATGAATTATGCTATCATTTTGACTAATCAATGTAAACTTTATTTATTTCATAAATTTAATTAATCAAATCAATTACCATAATTAGACTTTTTTTAGTATTATTACGTAATCATTCTAAGTAATATTCATAGTCATAACTAATTTGTCATTCTTGAACTTGAGCTCCGCATTCCAAATATTTGATCGGGGATCAAAATCTGGTTTTCTGAGAAACCCTAACGGTGGAGAAACTAGAAATTAAAAACGTAGACTGAATCCAAGCAATTATAATTTCCATTTCATAGTCGAAGATTTCTTGGTATCGATTCATCGGTTATTCTATTCGAAAATGGATCGACAGAGCATCCAGTGATGCGGGGAGTGTGAGGCTGTCTTATCTGTAAGAGAGAGTTTGTGCGAGAATTAGATGATGGATCCCAAGGCGTCTGCCAAAGCGAAGAGGTCTTACTCTCAACAAGGTCGAAGGAAACACCCTTCGCCGGCTGCGATTGCCCAGAAGAAGAAAGCCGCCCAGGTAGGATCAGAGGCGAAAGTCCAGCGAGAGCGCTCTCATGATCTGCCTTCTAATTTGGATCGTTATGATGAAGGCGAGGATGAAGCCGAGAGCTCCTCCAGTACCGCATTGGAAGAAGGAGGAATTCCGCCTAAGAGCAAAGGGGCGGATTTTGTCTACTTGATCGAGCAGGCTCGGTCACAGCAGCAAGAGCTTGGACCACCAACCCTGCATGAAGCCCCGTCCTTCTTTGACGAGCTCGCCACAGGTAATCATTAGGGTAAAGGCGGGTGTTTTTCTTTACGGTTGATGGTTATTCATGGATTTCTTTTGATTCACAAAGGTTAGAATTGACATTTAATAGATTGGCGCGTTTATTTCTTCATTAGTGCTAGTGATTATAGACATTAGAAGGTAGGAACGGGCTTCCAGCAGGAATATAACTGTAAAGCTGTGGGAAAAGAGATCCTCAATTTAAGGCTTGGTAGGCCATTGTATGAGGTGGAGAAGCGTGACTAGCTATTCTTTACACGGTAGATGATTTAGGGCATCTCCAACCCCATTTTCCACTCTAAAATGCCCTAAAACTTCAAAATATGGTAGTTCATCTTCAATGGAACTCCATTTTTCTGTTTCTTTTTTGCTTCTTTGTGAAGGTAAACATCTTTATCCTGTTTCGCGCGCTTTCTGAGAAGCTAAGCAGAGTGCGAAGGTAATCGTTTTTTTGGCGTAGGTTGGCGTCTCACTGTTCATCTACCGATTTTTTTCTTGAGATTTGGAATTCGAATGCAGCGATTTACGGACTGCATACAATGGTATGCAATTCGGTTGGATATGATCTAACCGCTTGAAAAAAAAAAATAGGCATATTTTCTTTGGCATTTTATTCAGCGAGTACAAGTTGTCTTTAATAAGAAGCACTGAAGAATAAAATATTGCAATGACATTGAATTTTACAGCATGAAACGAGTGTAGTTTCAATGCAATATTAGTCCTTTCCAATGAACTCCTAAAGAAAAAGATGATTAAGTGATTGGAAAGAAGTGCTTTTGCTCCAAAGTTAAAAAAAGGTATTGCAGCAATCGTAAGGTAGTTTAATGTTTAGTCATATAATGAAATTATAAGAGAGTGTGTTGGAATAAATTTTGAGGAAAAACTATGATGATGTTGGAGTATTAATATACGGAGATCTACCACTAAGGAAAACTTTTATGCCTGAGGAAATCAATGGAAAGGATACTGAGAAATAAATGATCATAGGAATTATTTATTGATCCAAAAAGGCATATGATAGTATCGAAGGAATTGATTAACTAAGTAAAATTTTAAGTAGATCTATACTTTTTAACCATTCCACATAATTAAAACATGCTTGCATCAGTTCCTCGTTCTGCCTCATTGCAACTAAAAAACAAAGCCTGCTCGACTTGTTAGTTCTCTCTGCCACTCATCCCATCAATGCCACCTCGCCTTGGCTATTCATATGCATTTTATGTATATTTTTTATGCTTTGTTTCCATGAAATTATTTTATTTTATTCTAATTTTTTATAATTTCATTAAAAATTTGGCAGATTTTTTAATTTTTCAATTGGCTTTGAGGATTTGGTTTATAGATGTCCAAATGTATGCAGGTGAAATTGCTAAAGTGCAAACAAGAAATTGTAATGCAAACTGGGTATATATTTGCATTAGCAGAAGATATTTTGTTTTCTTGAAGGATGCTTATTTATTGGTTGTTCTGCACTTAAAATGTTAAATGCATTAGCATGGATTGCATTTGCTCGTGCTCTTAAATGTTATTTAAGGTAATATTTACATTCCGTCTTTAGATTTCATGAAGGGGGTAAGCTCTATACATACTGTAAGAAGAAAGAATCTTCTATCTCGCTGTGAAGATGACAACTTCGTTGTGGATGTTGACCTCACTTCAAGCTATGAGGTATTGAATTCATTTTGTTTCTTTGTAAAGTTATATCCACTATCCTCTTGCTATCATATCTCTGTTGCTTCCTAAGCCTCCCCAGTGGCATGGTTCTCTTATGCCTCTGAGTTTTAATGATAACTCTGGCACCATTGACTAAAATTCTTTCATGTGGTGCATGCTTGCTTATAATTCTTGGGCGTCTTAAAAAAATTGTTAAAAGAAGATTGATGTTTTAAAGAACATATTGGGTTTGGATTGGAGGATGATCTACCTGTTGAGTTGTTTTATTATTATTTTTAATCAACTTATTGACTTACAAATGTTGCATAGGTTCAAATCGTTGGTTGAAATAATTGAGTTCCTTGTAACTTGATGTTGAACTACATCAGTGCTTCATATTACCATGCACTCTTTACGTTGGAGTTTTATTCAGCAAGAAATATACCGTTCAATTTTATTAAGCTCTTAAGATTGTGATAGGAAATGCTTGTAGGAACAAGGATTTCCCTAGCTGAATTTGGATTTCAGCAACTTGCAAAACAGTTTTGAGAAGATTTTGGAAGAAATTATAGAAGATATCTTTTTATTGATAAAAGATGAAAGAAAACGAACAAGATACTATGGATCCTCAATTGGAGAGGAGAATCCGTCTCTCCCAATCTCTAGCCGGCGGCTAGTGCCCAAACAAACCCTAGTAACTCTCCAAAATTCTGCAAATACAGGAGAACCCTAACCCTAAACAATCTCCTCTATTTAAAGCATAAAAAATAAAAAAAACACCCCAACAGCCCTCCTACTTTGAATTCCCTCTTAATCCTCTCTTAATTACTGCATTAATTTGTGGACGGGGGATGGAAAGTAATGGAGGCGGACTGCCTCCGCCTGGAATAGCAGAGAACAGATTGATAGGAGAAATGTGTCATTCCGTATATCAAAAGAGATTCAGATGGGAATGCCATTTTTGGTGCTTCTCCAACAGCGAGTAATGGAAATTACCTAAACATTTTGCTGTTAATATTGTGCTTCAAAACTTTTGCGGTCCCAAATTCCAATTATTTTTCCATTTTTTTTAAATCTATAATATAGATTAATTGAGTTCTCTACTAGAAACTTTAAGCAATGAATAGCAATAACTTACCTGGTAGATATTTTTCCTAGGCTTTTGATTTGAGTTTTCTACACCATCAAAACTATTTGGAGTTGGCTTTATGAATTCTTATTTCTTTTAGTGATATCTGAGGCATCAAATTTATTTTTTGCACATCATTTTAAGTTTCTTCTATCCATGTTACCTTGGCCCTATCCTATTTTCTAAGTATCTGCTAATTTTATTTCTTTCTCTAATATGTGCATTTTCTATTCTTCGGTGTACATGATCGAATTGCCCAAGTTTATTTTCAATTAGTTTGTTTTCAATAGATGATACTCCAAATATCCCTCTAATATTATCATTGGTTAATTTATTCTTTCAGATTTTACCATGCATCTGTTAAGCCGGTCCAACCTGGACCGGCCCAACCTGGACCGGCCCAGTCGGTCCAGGTCTTCTCCAGGCGGAAGCGGGACGACAGCAGGATGATACTCCAAATATCCCTCTAATATTATCATTGGTTAATTTATTCTTTCAGATTTTACCATGCATCCAACTTAATACTCTTATTTTTATCACTGTTAGTGTGCATTTGAAAAAAATTACGAATACCTTATGAGGATAGTGTTCTTTTCACCTTCCCTGCCCATTTCCATTTTCTTTCTAGATACTCATATTTCATATTGGGTAACTTATTGGCAAATAAAACAAAGAATCTAAACTTACATCTGTAGAGATTATTATGAGCGTTTCTAATACAGCCAGCTATGATTGCTCTGAGATTTAACTCTCTCTTTTTTTTTCTGATGAGAATATTGTAGTTATGGATAGTAATTCATATAGAAAGTTTTTTTTCGCCTATATGAACTATGTTGAAGCGTTGTGCAATTTGATTGGACATTGTAGGTTTCATCGGTCACTTTAGTCTCTATCAATTTTTTACATGCTCTTTCTTTGTATGCAATCACAGTAATGTTATGGTCCTTGCTTTTGCTAATTACCTGTGAACCTTTCAGATACCATTTCTTAACTTGGATTTGCATGCTATCGCTGCACAACTATCAAAAATTAAACTTTCAGAGAGGCTTTTTATCGAAGAAGATCTATTGCCCGAGGATCTTGTAAGTGTAGTTCTTATCATGTGAAATATCAAAATTTTCCTGGATTTTCTTGTCCAACATTAATCCTGCAAATATGATTACTAAGCATTACACTTGAGATTATGTGGTTGATTTCCTTGTTAGTTATTTTGTGACCTTTGATATGTAATAGCTTTTTTGGGGTAAATTGTGATGTTCTGTTGCTGCTATTTGGTTAATTTGGTGTTTCAATTGAAACAAATGGACTATAAGCTATAATAACTTATAAATACTTCAGAGGGCAGCATACAGTTTATAACGAGATTGTCTTGGCTGCCAATAGTAACACCTGCTGCTGTATTTCATATCCATGTTAATTCTGGCTTAATAAGAAATACTGATACATCAAGGATTTAAAATCCATACTCAAAATACCTTACATCAGAGAAGTAACAATAAGATTAAGCCATAACAAGGCAACATAAGAATTGAGTAACAGGTATAAACAGCATGCCAACACATACACAAGCTCAGAACCGGCAGAAACAGCAGAGCTGCATCAGCGACTGGCACAAAGAGTAGAGCTACAGCAGCAGGTAGACAGGCATCCCGGAGTAGCAGCCATATGCATTGTTAAATCTCAGCCTCTCTTCCTATATTGATCCCACGGCCAAGAGTATCAATCCGTGGGAAAAATCCCGCCTACCGCACGCCGCTCTGCTTCCAAAGTGAGAAAGCTCATTTAGGAAGGGATCTATGAGGGCAATAATACATGATTTTGTAATTTAAGTATTTTTTTTATTTGATATGCGGTATAGATCTATAAATAGAGAGGAATTTCGGTAATAAAACACCAGTTTTCTTCTCAAACTTCCTGATCATTTCAACTTGGTATCATAGCAACAAAGGAAGTGAAACCATCACAACAAGGCCGGAGACTACTTGCGTGGGAAACGAAGCCAAACGAAACCAGACAACGTCAGAGAAGACAAAGTCGACGGAGCCTAAAGAGGAAGCAGACAAAGCGACGGAGCCAAAAGAGGAAGCTGCGAGACGGGGCTCTGCGGGTGAAGCTCTGTCGGCAAAGCCAAAAGAGGAATTGGGACAGAAGACCTAGCGGGACAAATCTTCCCTACTCACGCGTGCGAAGAAAAGGGTCGAAGCCTCCTATTTGTGTGACTGCTGAACCGGTGCGACCTGATCTGGCTTGCGACCTGATTGCGCGAGTCTCGAACCCGTGCGACTTCACTACTGTTAAAAGTAGTCTTCATTACTACTATTTGTGCAAGCCTTGATCCTCAAACCATGATTAAATCCCTAAAAATCAGCCTTCATTGTTGATATAAAATCGGTCTTTATTGTTGTTATAATTAAAAGTAATCTTTATTACTATCTATTGTGATACCACTATGTCTGAAGAAAATTCATCTTAGAGCATTGATCAATTTGAAGATTCTATGATACGTCAAGAACGAGGTGATCTCCAAAACATGCAACCTTCATATTGTCTAAACGGGAAGAATTATCTAAAGTGGTCTCAATTTGTGAAGACCTACTTAAAAGGGAAAGGAAAAATACTCTACCTCCTCGGAGGAAGACCAAAAGGAGGAGATCCTAATTTTGGGGCATGGGATGAAGTAGACTCCATGATTATGTCATGATCATGGGATTCCATGACTCCAGAAATTAGTGATAGCTTTATGTTCCTTTTCACTACAAAGGACATTTGGGATGTCACCAGACAAACTTTTTCAAAGGCTCTGTATGCTGCTCAAATTTTTGAAGTTAAAATCAAAGTAAGAAGCACAAAATAAGGAAACAAGATCTTGACAAAGTATGCCACTATTCTACAATACCTATGGCAAGAACTTGATGACTTGATCACTACATATGCATAGAAATCAAATGTCAAGAAGATGTTGCTATCCTAAAGAACTTTATTGAAAAAGATAGAGTTTATGATTTTCTTGTAGGATTAAATGCAGAATTCGATCAAGAGTCCAGATCCTTGGCAGAGAGGTTGATGGGGACATCAGATTTCGACACGTGTACCATCGCCGGCAGCGCAGATCAACGGCTACGATCCAGAGTCTCTATTTCTGATCCATTTACAGTTTATGTCATGTACTTTTTGTTTTCCTAGTTTGCCCCTGAGGGCATTGTTTCGCTTTTGTAGCCCTGAGGGCGTTTCTGTCTTTTCATTTTCTTTATTTTTGGGCCTCCTTATATGAGGCATGATGTATTGTAATGACTTAGTTTTGTTGAAATAAAAAATATTCTCCTTTGTTCTCTTTGTGAGTGCACTCCCCTTTGATCTCTTAGTGAGTTCAAAAGGGAGAACTAGATCTCTTCGTGAGTTCTAAATTTAGTCCAAGATTATTGTGTGGAGGTAGAGTTTTGAAGAGATTCGAGGTGAGGAAGTCAAAGCAAAAAAAAATTTCTCAGATTTCTTTATGTTTTTCCTCCTCTCACCCTAGTGCCGCCGACCCCTTTGGAGCCAGCCAGGCCGCCGGCTTATACAGCCCAACCCGCCGGCCTGCAAAGCTCCTCCCGCCGGCCCATCCTCCGCCCAGCAGCCGCCGGCTAGCTCCAGCCCGCCGGTCCCCTCCCACCTTCCCGCCGCCTTCCTCTCCCCCGCCTCTTTCAAATTTGAAATCTGAAATTTAGGAGTTTCATTGGCCATTAAATGTTTCCTAAATTGTCCCCTTAATTCATGCAATCAAAATAAATTGAAATTAAATTTTGAATTCGAAATTCAAATTCAATCCAATTGATTGTTTTAATTTAGGAACCTCCCTCCATTATTAAAACTGAAATTTTAAATTCAGATTTTGGTAAAATTCTGAAATTAAGCTTGTGGTCCCCACTTGCTTAAATCCCCTCCTCCCTCTTCTCTCTCTCTTTGGCCGGCCCCTTCATTGGGCTCCTCTCTCTCTCTCCTAATCACCCTATTAACTCCACAAAATCAGCCCCCAATTCCCCTCTCTTGGCCGTTCCTTCCTTCTTCTTGATTTAATTTGAATTTCAAATTAAATCACCCTATTAAACCCTCCAAAATCTGAAATTACTTCAGAATTCCTGCTCCCCACCATTGGATTCCCACCTTGGCCGAATCCCTCTAGCCCGCCTAAACCGTGACCCCCTCTCTCCCCAAACTCCCGGCCCACTTTCCCACTCCCCTCTCGTGCTCTCTCTACTCAACCCTATCATGAATGGCGGATCCGGAGCTAGAATGGGGACTTGTGTTTGACGCTCACGGCAACCTCGACATCCAACGATCGTCGTTCTTCAACGATTTGAATCCGACGACGATACCGTTGGAGCCTACTTGGATCGGATCCTACCGACTCTCATACACGTCATCGGCAAACAACGTCCGGACTCCGTTGGATCATTGACGGCCGCCCACCCGCTCCTCCAAATCCGGCTTCTTTCCCGGCGACGAGTCCTCTCAAGATCACTTGTCTATTAGTGGCATCGCTAAGTCTACTTACAATTCTCTTCCGCTAGCCACCACTGTCAAAACGAGTGACGGACCTCAAGGTGAATGATCTAGATTTTAAATTTGGGACTTTGTTATCATTAGCTATTTGTATTACTTAAATGCTTAGTTGTTATTTTGCAAGTTACCGTAAACTCTGCATGTGATTTATTACCTTTGCTAAATCTCTCAACATTAAATTCTTAACTCAACCTTGAGCAAGCAAAGATTTATTCATTAGCAAGAAGATTTCATCACTTTCATTAATTTCACCAAGACAATTCTTGTTCATTGCATGTTGCATCACATCAGAGGTGACACCATCATTAAATGAAACCATATCTCTCATTCGCGCTGAAGAAAGCCAACGATGAGTGATGTTGGAGCCAAAGGTTGTTGAAAGTTTAGCAATGGTGATGAACAAAGAAGCAATGTGGAAGGAAGAAGGTAAAGACTCCTCAAAATTTAAAGATAGAAACTTACTTTGGTGCAATTATTGCAAAAGTCAAGACACACAAATGAGACGTGCTGGAAAATACATGGAAAATCCTCCAGTAAGGAGTGGAATCAAAGAAGTAAAATAAGAAGAACACATGTCAACAATACGACAAGTCAACGCAACTCAGAAACACAGTCTAGCTTCAGAGAATTAATAAAGAAGATGTTGATAAAGTAAAATAACTCCTGGTATCCCTTGAAAAATCAAATGCATTTTCCTCTCTTGCACTTTCAGGTAAGTTTTCTATTTCCATATGTTTAAGTGTCTCTAGAAATCATTTAAAAGAATTATGGATCATTGATTCAGGAGTCATAGATCACATGACACACTCACCTACCCACTTCATCAACTATAATCCTTGCCCAAGTGACAATAAAATCATCATTGTTGATGGTTCTCTTACCATGGTAGCAGGCCAAGATAAAAAAACTAAGGCTATTTCTGCCCCCACCTAAATGAATCATTGTCAGGCTTAATCTGATAAAATATAAATCTGGATTCTGATGCGGGTCCTCAATCCCGAAAGTAAATATTATAGATTTGAGAAACTCTAATTCTTGTTACCTATAGTCTGAAGCATGCTCAAAAATGTTGTTGCAAGCTTTATAGTTTTCTGACTGTTTTGGCCCAAGAGAAACACCATACCAAGAGATTTGGTTGGTAGCATCAGTTTTCTTTTGAAACGTTTATCATATAGTCCAAATTTTACAAACAAAAGCGTCACATGCATCCAAATCTAGAAGTTAAGAGCCTGCCGTGGTATCGTACAAAGTAATTATAAATTTATAATATTACTTCAAGAACTAATTTTGGCGTAGTGGTGCTCAAGTGCTAGTCTGTTTCTATGAAAAAGAAGCCTAGCCAAGGTTCTAAAGCTTGTATCCTGCCTGGGCCTTTGCTTTGGGTTTCTGCCCTTACCATTGCCTTACATTACCTACAGAAAAAACTGTCATTATCGCCTTTTTTGCTACTTTCAAGAATACAAAGGATCTTATTTCTGATCATGCTTGCAAGGTATCTATCAAATGCAAATTTACATGGTGCGTTTGGAGATTGAATTGAACTGCCCTGCCCGTATTTTAAGGAATAATCTAATACTCTATGTAAAATGTTTCCTCATTTTTTTTTCTTTCTTCCTGTTCTTTGACAGCGTTTTGATGACTCAAAAGGTAGTTCATCGTCTTTTCAATCAGAAAAACTTGAGGAGATTGGCGCAGAACAAAATATGGAAGAACCAAATTTGCTTGGCCATACTGAGGACCCCAGCACCACTATTTTCCCCAATCCAAACATCTCCCAAGCTTATCCCGCACAAGGAAATGACCAAGAAACAACAGTTGGTACAAATTCAGGGCAGCCCTGTGATATAAGAGAAACTGAAGAATCACTAGGAAATATCAGCAAAAGCTCTACATTGAAGGTTAGAGAAGCAGAAGCAGAGCTTGACATTCTTCTTGAATCATTCAAAGAAATCGGTCTTTCAGGCTCCATTCAGGATAAACCTTCTTCTAAGATCTCTTTTGATGAATCTCTGCCATTGCATTGGAAATCAGATGTCAATAGAAAACAGCCAGCAGATGCAATAGATAATTCTCCAAATTCTGATTTCTTTTATCCAATGCAGCAACAATCAATTGATCAAGGTCAGGTTCCTTCAAAGAATACAGTGGCAACCTCAATAGATGATTCAATTGATGATTTGCTTGCTGAAACCTCATCAATCCTGAAAATGCAAAAACACATTAGAGCTCCAGCTCCAATGTTTTCTACTACAAACAGCTTCCAGCCGCATTCTAGTTCAAGCTCCATTGATGAGCTTCTTGGAGGGCGAAAGTCCATAGCAATTCAAAATGGAGCGGCTTCGTCCGAGGCTTGTTCTTCCAATCCAGACTCGAAAGCGCAGATGGATGATTTTGATTCATGGATGGATTCGTTCTGATGAATTCTCGGTATAGCCATGATAGATTGAGCTACAGAGAGCTTGCAGATCCTTGTAGATTTTTATCTTAACAGTTTCTGTGTGGAAATAAGGTTTCTGCTTGTTTTTTAGCAGGAAACGAGATGGAAAGAAGGCACTGCCATTAGCTTCTGCTCATCATTCTCTCTTCAGAGATTTCTGGTGTTATGGAATTGGATCAGAATATCATAGGTAAATTTTGGTTAGGATGCAATAATCATCAATCTTAAAGCAAATTTAAGGAAAAAAATATCTTCGTTAAAAATTTTATCAGAATATTTTGAAGTTATTGACAATTGCGGAATTACCCACCTCATTCATTAATTTATTTTGTGTAAATTTTTTTTGTACTTTAAATAGTCAAAACAAGTTTTTTAGGTCTTAATTTTTTTTTAGGCATCATAGGATTAATCATAAGATTAATATTTATTACAAAAAAAAATAATATTTAAGGGTAAGTTAAGATATCAATAAGTTTATATATTTGGGGTATTAAAAATCCAAAATAAAATTAATTAGTAGGTGGGGGTAATTCCACTTTGCAATTATATATAGCTATAATATTTTGATGGAGTTAACATTTAGATTGAAAAGAGTGAAATTAGAAAGAAAATAAATATATTTTTTATTGAAATATTAAATTAAGAAGAAAATAAGAGGAGATTTTTTATTTCAAAAGATTTTGTTTTTCCTATGATTATTGGAAAGATGACAAAAATTTATGCAACTTTTCGTTATGATTAAATTATCCAAATTTTAATTAAAAAACACAATTAAATATTTCTCAAAGTTAAACGTAATTTTAGTCATTAATTGTATCTTTTTATTACCTTTCAACTCTTGGTGCAGACTTTTTTTTTATTTCTTAAAATTTTTAATAAAAATTTGATTTTTTTTTTTAATTTAGCTTGTTTAG